TATATATTGTAGTGCGACCCTTGGTAGTTCCTCTAAGGGAATATAAATTAAATAGGAAACTTCAGTACCTAAGGTAGATATTGCCTAGCCAGCTATCCCCCGTTGGTCCCTTAGAATACTGTCGACGGGCATTTAGGCTCAACCCCTAAATAGCGATGTAACAATAGGTGGAGGCGCCGATCTCTCTGTTTTATTTTAAACTTTCAGTGAGGGATCCCCCCCTAAGTGTACTACAATTTTTATATACCGCTTTTCACGGTTAATTTATAAATTAAATATTTTTTATTTATTATTGGCTCACTTTATTATAATAGTAACAATTGTATAGTTAGGTATAACTATAAATTAAGTCTTTGAGTTACATAATCTTTTATATACGTTTATATGCCTCTCTATAGTTATTATTTAAAACGCACCTTTAATAATCAAACTTGTAGAATTACCGAAAGAGTTTGGAATCTATTAGGTTTTGATAGTAATATTTTGGAACTAACACCAGATCAGGTTATTAGTTCATTTGGAAAGAAAAGGGGTATTTCTGTTTCTAAGGCTTTTGATCATACCGCTTTTATAAAATTTCCAGTAGGAGCAACTTTAATTTACGAAAGCACTATATTCGAAGTTTATAAACGAGAAAGTAAACGGCAATATTTACCGAAACAGTTACAACAAATCTCCCTTTTAGAAAAAATTGAAATTTTAAAAAAAGATACGGAAGGTTATTATTTTTGTNTTACCGAAACAGTTTCAACAAATCTCCCTTTTAGAAAAAATTGAAATTTTAAAAAAAGATACGAAAGGTTATTATTTTTGTTATTGTACAAAAGGGGAATTACTTAATATTTTGTCATTTTTAAACGCAGAACAGCCGATTAATAGTCACACTAAAGATTTGATAAATAAATTACGTTCTGTTTTCAAACAACCACCCCTCTCAGAAAAATACGAATCTGATTCGGACTCCGAAGCAGAAAAACTTGATAAAATTCCAAGTACTCTGCCGGTTCCACTAAGCACAAAAAGCGCTTCTTCGAGTGAATCGAACACCCCTACCGATCTCGACAAAACCGTTGTCGAATTTCCTTTAGCTAAACCATCAGAAATTTCACGCGAGGTCACCGTAGAACCTAAACCTATTTCTGCGCAATCAAAACTTTTAGAAAATAAACCAGTTAAATTAATAACTACTATGGCCATAAACGCAATTAGAACACCCCAAACATTTTCAGGAAACTTAACAGAGGACGCGGATAGATTCTTCGTTAATTTCGAAAGGGTAGCAACCGCTAATAGGTGGGATGACGCGGAGAAATTAATAATGTTGCCCCTTTCATTATGTGACACGGCTCAAACGGTTTTTGAGGCTATCGAATCCGAAAACCCAAACTTAAATTGGCATGAGGCAAAAAATACAATGATAAAGTTTTATAATTCAGACGCACGACTTCGAATGAGGCGTCAAAATTTAGAATCTAGGAGAAAGAGTGATTCGGAAACAGTAAAAGAGTATTTGCTAAAAATAAAAGAAGAGTGCAGGAGAATAGATAAAAATATGGCAGAAAGGGAGGTAATAAGGTATATTT